GTGAATTCCTTTTCTCCCACCCATCTTCTCACATCTGATCCTTTATTCTCAATTCTTCGGGATACAGGGGTGGAGTGTGAGTGCAGAATAGGGTTGTACCCACACATGTGCTGTATAGAACAAAACCCTAAATAATGTGTGGATTTTTCTGGAAGAAGATGGAGACAGGTAGTACTTAGCTTAGTAGGTATCAGAGCAACCTTCTAATCAGCTTGCTGTCATGAATGTTCACAGAAGAGGGTTCTTAAAGTCAATAGGAGAATTATTTATGTCCAACAATGCCAGCAGGGTTAAGTGGCAACAGTATTTTACCAAAAGCATTATTTCACTTTTCATTGCACTCAGTTTTGCTGGGTCTAGGTATCTTCTAAAGTTTCCATTTTAGAAGCTTCTGAGCTGCTATCCTTATACAGAATATGCACTGTGTATTCTCATTTCAGGTAAAAACAGATGTGCAAGGCACAATGCATACAGTCTTCCAGAAATATGACGGGAAAAGTCCGGAGTCTGGTGTTGTGGATTACTTGCAAGAACAGGTAGGAAACCTTTTGATCTGCTGCTGAGAATTATTTAAAAATATCCAGTTGATATTAAACCATGCATGCAGCCTTTAGGGGGAAAATCAGTTTGCTACTTTCTAAAACCGGTTCTGCAAAATGCTCAGCACTGTCAGTTCTTATTCACTTCAGTGGCAATTGAGAGTACTCAGCTCCTTGCAGGTTTGGACCACAGGGCCCTGATCCAAAGTCCATTTAAGTTAATGGACTTAAGAAAGGCTCCTACTGACTTAAATGGGCTATAGATCAGGCCCTAAATGAGTGTGCTTAAATGGTCATCCACAGGAATTTATTTTGCCTTAGGTCCTATGCTGCTACGTATCACCATAGTATCTGAACTTTCATAATGAATAAATATTAAGAATTTTTATTGTACTGTGGAAATTTAGTCTGTTTTATCTACTGGTAGGAGAGGAGAGGAGTATGTGGATCGGAAAGAGATTTCTCTTAGAGGAGAGTCTATTGATAGAGATTCTCTAGGTTTTAGTGAGGAGGAGAGATGGAAGAGGATAAAGTATGGGCCAGATCAGACGAGAAACATTCACATAAAAAAGAATCTGACACATGAGAAAAGGGCAGACAAATAAACAGTGACAGGTTTTTAAAGTGCTTGTACACAAATGCTAGAAGTCTAAATAATAAGATGGGTGAACTAGAGTGCCTCA